TAATATAAGCCCTTTAAGGGACACTTGTATCCCACAGATATGTTACATGTAGATTTTTTTTATTAGTGAGTTCCAAGTATTTTTTTTTTATTCCCATGATTCCTTTTTAAACCATTAATTATTTAGGAATGGGTTCTAATTTCCAAATGGCAGGGGTATAAACAGATTTTCATTATTGTTTTTTAACCTAATGAATTGCAATCATAGATGGTGGTCTGGATCAAAATGGTTAAGACTTTCTTTATGGTCTAGTACAGGGGTGGGCAAACTTTTTGACTCGAGGGCCACAATGGGTTCTTAAACTGGACCGGAGGGCCGGAACAAAAGCATGGATGGAGTGTTTGTGTGAACTAATATAAATTCAAAGTAAACATCATTACATGAAAGGGTACGGTCTTTTTTTTTTTTTTAGTTTTATTCATTTCAAACGGGCTGGATCCGGCCCGCGGGCCGTAGTTTGCCCATGGCTGGTCTAGTATTTAGTCAGTTTTTCATTTGTGCTTGAGAAGAAAATGCATTTCAGTTGTTGGGTAGAGAATTAATATCAGGTATCTTGACAGCTTTGTCTTTTTTACCTGTAAATGAAGAAGATATGTTGAAAACTATGCTGATTGACTTTTCAGTTGCCCCCTGTATTCTGTCAAATCTTGCTTTATATATTTTGAGGCTTCTTTTAGAGACATGAATATTTAAATCTTCTGTCTCCTAACAATGCTTTTTCTCTCAAAATCTGTGTTATCTGATCTTAATATAGGTGTGCTGGCTCTATTTTGGTTAACATTTGCCACGTATGTTGTTTTTGTTTTCCCATATTTACTTTCAACTGTGATCTCACTTATGTATATAGACTTGTTTTTTTAAAAAATATATTTTTATTTATTTCAGAGAGGAATGGAGAGTGAGAGAGAGATAGAAATATCAATGATGAGAGAGAATCATTGATTGGCTGCCTCCTGCACACCCCTACTGGGGATCGAGCCCACAACCAGGTCATGTGCCCTTGACCTGAATCTAAGGGACCCTTCTGTCTGCAGGCTGATGCTCTATCCACTGAGCCAAACCGGCTAGGGCTATAGATTTCTTTTTGTACTCAGAAAGTGGCTAGGTTTTATTTTAATCCAGCTGCTAAATTTAAGTGGACAGTTTATTTATGTTTATTGTGCTTATTTACATACTGGGTTTTATTTCTCCTATTGTACTTTTTTTTTTGTTCCTGCTTTTTTTTCTCTTTTCTTGCCCTTCTTCTCCCCCTCAGAGCACCCCCCCCATTGATTGATCTTTCATTTTACCCCCACTAGAAGTTATATACTTTGTTTCTGTTATTTAAATGGTTCCCCTTAAAATTTTATCATGCCTCCTTAACTAAACAGATTGTTAAATTAATATCATAAATTCTTTTCTAAACAATACTTAAACTCTAAAAATACTGTGCTGTTAAATAGTATTATTGTTTGTTTGTTTGTTTGTAACCATACATATTAAGACTTTAAAATTAGAAAAGTATGTCAATAAAGCTGGGGGAAAAGTAGAAAAGTTACTAGTTTGTCAGTATACATGCGCATACCAATTTCTTTGTTTGCTCTTTTCTTCTATATCTCAAGTCTTTTTAGAGATTTATTTTTATTCTAGCTGAAATAAATGTTCAGAAATAGCCCTGGTTGGTGTGGCTCAGTTGGTTGGAGCACCATTCTGTGCACCCAAGGGTCATAGGTTCCATTCTTAGTCAGGGCACATACCCAGGTTGCAGAACCTATCGATGTTTCTCTCTCTCTCTCCCACTCCCTCCCTTCCCCTCTATTCCCCCTCTTGTACCTCTCCCCCTCGCTCTAAAAATCAATTAAAATATATTTTTAAATTGATTTCAGAAAGGGAGGGAGGAGGGAGAGAAGAAATACAAACATCAATTGGGATCAAGCCCGCAACCTGGGCATGTGTCCGACTG